AGAGAGAGGGAGGCACAGAATCTGAAACAGGCTCCAGGCTCTGTCTGACCTGTCAGCATAGAGCCTGACGCAGGGCTCGAACTCATGGACCGCGAGATCATGACCTGAGCCGAAGCCGGATGCTCAACCGACTGAGCCACCCAGGTGCCCCTGCCTTATACTATTTGAGGGGTGCAGTCACAGCAAGTTTTGTATAGGCCCCTCTGCGGCATTTTCTCCTCTGAAGTCCCTTCTTCATGCAGGGTCTACGTTGTCTAGCCAATCGTCTGTTTCTGGTTTTCTCTAGATCAGGCCAGTGAAAGACTTAACTATACACGCTGAGTTTTTTTAAAAATTTAAAAGTGCCCTCCGTTCTGTTTGGACACATCTATCTGCACAATATTTTATCCTTCGTCTCTCCATATACGGTGGTGGGGGGCAGCCGACGCATGTGTAGGAGAGCCTGTGCACCAGGCCCCAGCATGGAGTTTCAGGTGTCTTCCTCCGCAGTGTGACGGGTGGAGTTTGGGGACGGGAGCGTCTGGCCAGCTCTTGTGCTCACTGTTGCCACAGGTGCTCCAGAGCCTGTTCCTTGAGAGTTCCATTTTCTACTGTGCCTTTTCAGCTGCAATTTTGACATCAGCACAGACAGATACTGATTCCGGGAGCAAGACAGGCGTTATCCTCTCCCTGGATTATCCTAAGACACCCCAGTTAGGTGGGGACTTCAAGGCACATGTGACATGGCCCTCCAAACTCTGCCTGCTGCCCCAGGTGATCACGCTAAATTATAGATGGGAAGAGGCTTTCTGCAGTGCTGTTTTTCCACTGGAGGACAAAGCGCTCTGTTACAGGAGGGCTTTGACAAAGCGAGGCCTCCAGGCCCCGCAGGAACCGCGGAGCTGCAGGCGCAGGTTACCTTCCAACCACAGGGCTCAGCGTGTGAGTTTAAAACAAATGGGAAACAGATGCAGAGAGTCTGACTTTCTATTTGAGGGTTATTTCTTTGAGCAAAGACAAGCGCTAAACATTTAAATATCAAACTGGTAGGTTTTTGAAACAAAAAAAAGGCAAGAAGAAACAAAGAAAAGTCAGAAGTGACAAATTTAACACTCTTCTCTGGTCAGATAAGAATCTGCCCTTAGCGCCACCTAAATGACGGTAACTGCCAGCTTCGTGATTCGGCATCTTTCTCTTTGTGTCTTTTCTTCCTTCTTATTCCAGTTAGATTTCCTCCCTTCCCGCCAACTAAACAAACAAACAAACAAAAGCGAAAACCAAAGCAAAACAACTCTTTCCGTAGGCGTGATCGAAAGAGCGTCTCACACAGAGCAGATGTGCAAACGTGCAAACGTTATCCGTCAGATGGAGGGATGACGTGGAGGTGCTGTGAGTGAGGTTTCCACACTCCTGTTACCTCCTCACGCACATCAGACCTGAAACGCCAGTCCTGGAGCTGTGACAGGCATTCGAGAAACCACCTGAAAACAAATGGAAGTATACCGGCCTACCACAGAAGGAAGGAGGGAGGAAAGACAGGTTGGCTTTGCTGCAGATTAGACTGAAGTTGTTAGTTCTGGTATTTGAAATGCTTCGGGCAGTGAGTGACCCAGTTGGCACCGTGTCACTTTATCTGTGTGTGCGCTCTCCGCTTCGGATTGTTTCGCCTGTTACACCTCAAGAATTGGCGGCTGGTAGGGTCCGTGTTTGGTGTGAATGAGGACTTACTATAAACACGTAAACTGGGCTCACAGTATGTTTATGGCATTTCTTCATCTAACAAATAGCCTTTGTGGGTGGCGGAGGCCAGCCTGGCAACATACCCAGGCTTAAGGTTGAACGAAAAACGTGCAAAGTGGCCATCTGCCTTGCTTCTGAGTTTGATCTTCTGAGAAGATCACCAGTGGTTATTTTTACTCTGTCAACGTGACAGGTGACGAGCAAGAAGGAGGACTTGTTCAGTGCCTGGAACTCGTGTCTTCGTCATGTTGCCTCCCTGTCTCTGGCACGCATTCACAGAGGCCAGTTGGCTCTTGTTGAGTGTTTGTGATTGAGTGACTCGGGGTGCAAGTTAGGTGGGAATAAGGCTGCAGAAGAAGGACAGTCCCCGCACCAGCCTGAGCCCTGGTGTTGAATTCAGGGCCCCAAAATAACTCCCAACCTACCAGGAGCACTGACCGCACGACATGCACCCGGAACCCAACACTAAACTCCAAGAACGGTGCACCTGACACCACCTGACAGTTGCCAATAACGCTCGATCGGTTGGAGGCAGCCTGCAAACGGCGGCCCCTCAGCAGTGGCCCTGTGCCCAACGGGATCTGCCATTCCCACAGAAACAAGCCGGAGGGCGCCCACGCGGATGAAGCGAGGGTATTTTTTTTTAATAGGATCACTGCCTGGAGGATTTCAAATACCACAACCAACTACTTAAACCTAATCCTCAAATTAGCAAGAAACTGGTTCAGCCTTTTAAAGCTGTGGTTCCCAACCAGAGGCGATCGTGCCCTCCCCGGAACGTTTTAGTGACATTTGGAGACGTTCTTTGTTGTCGTAACTGAGCAGGGGTTGCTAGTGGACGGAGGCCTGGGGCACCGCTAAACATCCCTCCGCGCGTGACAGCACCCGCAACAAGGAATCATCCTGCCTAGATGTCAGTCATGCTGAGAGTGAGAACCCACGAGTGTTCATCTCGACCTCCACAGACACAATCAAGTAAGATAAAACGAAATCTTGGGAATGGTGGAAGATCCATCAAGACATGGCAAATTATTCTGTCTTTAAATTTTTTTAATGTTTATTTTTGAGAGAGAGAGAGAAAAGGGAGGGGCAGGGAGAGAGGAAGACACAATTCAAAGTAGGCTCCAGGCTCTGAACTGTGAGCTTGAACTCATGAGCTGTGAGATCATGACCTGAGCCAAAGTCGGTCACTTAACCGACTGAGCCACCCAGGCACCCCAAGATATGGTAAATTATTCTTGAAAGTGTTGTGTAAGGTCCAGAATCATTCGTGTATTCATCATCACGCTCCTACTCCATGGGGGGAAAGCCTTAAAAGAAAAAGGCTCTCTCTGTGCTTGTTTGCCGTGTAGGGTTTTCCCTCACACCAGGCTCACCGCTGGCCCTAGGAAGGCGGGGTCAGGTCTGGTCACCCCCACAACTCTGGGACCTGGCTCCCAGTACTCGTGTGTCCTCAGGCACCATCTTGTGGAGTGGAGTTCCTGGATGGCCTCTGTGAAGAGGCAAGCCGGCCCCCCAGGAATGCCTGCCTCCTACCCAACCTCATCGCCCAGCCACCACCCTCCCTCCCCACCCAGGCAGCGGCCACATTCTGTAATAGCCACAGCCTCATTAGCACCCGGATTTGGATTGGCTTCCACCTTCTCCCCGGGGCTGGAAAGGAGTTGCCAGTGTGGGACTTAGAGGGGCAGAGGAAGGGCAAACGGCTCCTAAAGGTCATTAAGGCACAGGACTGAGCTCCCTCATGTACAGATCCAGAAATTTTCATTCGTCCGCACGCCCCCACTGTATAAGGCTCAGGGGCATTGACTCACCGTAATCAAACTCAAAGGTGACAGGTATATAGGCCAGAATGCCAGTTTATTCATCACAAATGAAAACCCAACTGCTGACTCATCTGTACACGCTCTGCCCTGTGGGGAAATCTCCATGGGGAATTCAGTTCGCGTCAGAATGTTGCAGAAGGCTGGACTGTCTGAATGGCTCTTAGAGGAGCATGTGAGCGTCCATGCTGGCCGGCCTGCCACAGAGGCTGGACCCTGGAGGCCGTGGGCTGTCTGCTGCCTGGACTGTCTTGTTTAGCTCAGCACCAGCTTCGCCCCCCAAGAAATGCATGCAAACCACCCCTCTTCTGTTGGTGGGCTATTTTTTCAGATTTGTTGATCCGGCTGAAACTTGATAGGAGATAAAGCAGCACACAACCGACACACGGGTCAGCACTACTGAAGGCACCTGCAGCCCAGGCCTTGTCATCCCTTCTGTGTAGATGTTTAGAGCTCCACTCCCAGGGGTGCCGGGCCTGTGGCTTCAGCACCTGGTCTCCTCCCTCTGCTCCTCTGCGTACTGACCACAGATATTACCCATTCCAGGACATGAGCATATGAAACTTCTTTTTT